CCCCTGCTCTGGCAGGGGGGTTGGGCTGGGGGATCTTTCCAGGTCCCTTCCAACCCCTAGGGTTCTATGATTCTATGATTCCCTGGGCAACCTGGGCCAGAGTCTTTTCCAGTGACATTTCTTGTACTGACCCACTTCACTCACTGGAGGTTTGAGCTGCCTGATGCCTCTGAAACAGATGTGGGTGCTGCCTCTGCTCCCTGGATGGTGCTGGGGGTGAGTTGGGATAAGGAAAGCAGAGGATACACTTCAGTGTGTCATGGGAGTGTGGGCAGCTGGGCCCTACAGGAATTTAAAAATAAGCATCTATGGGATGAGATTAGCAAATCTGACAGTGCTCAGCTAAGCAGAAGTATCTGCCAATTGCAAGCAGCTCATTCCCAATAAGACCTTCCAGTGTAGCTGCAGGGTCCTGTTCTGTGTGAGGAAAAAACCAGCACGTGGCCACTTTGATTGATTTTTTGAACAGGAATCACAGCAAGCAAATTTAATTCAGGCTGAGGGGAATATGTATCACTCTTTTTTTTCCCCTCTGCTAGGAGACTGGGCACTGCCAGAGGATGAAAAACCACTTGGTTGCAGTGCCCTGGCAGCTGATCTTGCCAAATGTCACCCTGTCAGATGCTGGCATCTGGGGTTGGGGTTTTTCCCAATGGTTTTATTCAGGTTTAAAAAATGTCCAGTGCAAAAAGAGTTGGCAAATGGAGCTCAGGGGTGCCAGGACCCAGGAGCAGGAGGCTGGTGGGGATTCTGCCCGGGGTTTGCTCCTCTTTGGGGGCTCTGCTTGGCTCTCCCTCTGCCCCAGAGGAGCCATGGGCGCTGTTGCTGCAGCAACGGCGCTGGCGAGGAGGAGGATGGAGCTGTTGCCATGGTGCGGGGCGGGCAGGAGCTCTGCGGGAGGAGAAACACTTAATCATGGACTTGCAGACAAACGCGGCTTCAGACTTTGCTTGCGTGTTCCGGGGAGGGTGTCCCGGGCTCCCGGGAGACCGCCCGGCTGTGCGGGGACAGCCCGGGGTGCGGGAGGGGACCCGGGGATGCGGGATGGTACCCAGGGATGCGGGATGGTACCCGGGGCTGCGGGAGGGGCGCCGGGGACG